AAACTGCACCAACCTGCCCCTCTGGCTCCCTGTGACAGTCCAGGTCTGGGCTGCCTCTCGGATGGACGGACACTGTGGGGGTCTTCTTTCCAAAGCTCGGACTGGAGAGCAATGTCCTCGGCCTTGGAAGGTGGAGGGATGGTGTGTGCCCAGGCACATTAAGTCATGTCTGAGCAGAGGACGTTAGCAGGTTTTCTCCATGAAGGGGTTGCCCACACAAACAGCAGCCACTTGGCCGTCCAGGACCACAGGCCGACGGTGGCCTTCTCTGCCTCCTGAATCAGTCGTGGAGCTGGCTGCGATCGTGGCTGATGTTCTGTGTGGGGAAAGTGTTCCAGCGCTGACGCTGAGGGGCTGGCTTGCCCTCTTAAACGCTCTGACTCATTCTGGTAATATTTTCCGTTGTACCCGAGGGTTTAACCTTCCCCATAAACTAAGTCCCATCCGATATTCTAGATACGTATGTAAATATGTGGTCGCTGCAGAAGAGATGGGCTGTAGTCTACATTGTTGAGGCAATTTCTCCAATGCATCTGTTTTTACTAGGCAGAGTAGACCGTCATGGCCGTACCACAGACAACAGAACCCGAAGCCAGCATTGGCAGGCCTGGGCTTCTGGCTCCCAGCCCTGTACCGACCCCAGAAACCATCAAGGACAGACCCCTCAAGCACTTTTCTCAAGGAAGAAGAAAAAGAACGCTCCTGCCATTTATAAGTTGCAAAATTAACAGATTTCAAGCTAATGGGGTCACTGTTCTTCCGAGTCCCTACTAAGACTGCAGCATAGGAGTTGGGGTGCACACTCTGGAGTCAACCCCTGGGTTCGGCTCCCGTTTTGCCCCCGACTAGCTGTGCAATCGTAGGGAAATTGCTTAACTTCTCTGTGTCTCAGCTCCTCAGCTGTGAAATATGAATACTTCTATGCGCCTCACAGGACGAGGTGAGGAGGAGATGATTTGACATGTAAACATGCTTAAGCACCGCAGCTGCTGTGTAGTGAGCCCCGAATGAACCCCAGCTCCTGCTGGGACCGTAATGAGGGCAGGCCAAGGAGGGAGCCCGCCTGTGGGAGGCCCGGGAGAACACGAGAAAGAATGATAAAGGAGTGGGTTACATGCCGTGGAGTCAGAACGAGACAGTGGTTGACAGCACGGCTTATGTTCTCAGGGTCGGGTTCCTGTCAAGGGCACGGTCCAGACGCTGCCCAGAGCTGAGGCTCCAGGAAGTGGCGGTTATGCTTCGTGTTCAGGGCTCCATGACGAACACTCAGAACAGTACTCAGCAGTGGATAGCCGCTGTTATTTCAAAGAACCCAAGCCTTAACCTTCCCCATAAACTAAGTCCCCTCCGATATTCTAGATACGTATGTAAATATGCGTGTCCAGGGCAAGCTGGGAGGAAGGACAGTCACAAAGAGGCCTAGAAAAATAATTTTAGATGAGGAATGGTCATTAACTGGGTATGTAAAACCGTCCGCTGCCAAAAAAGCCACTGAGATTGATGACCATGCCACTGTCCAGTCCCTAAAAGGGAGGAGCCGTTTTAAAACGAGTCGGTGCAGACGAGGCTTTTCGGAGGTCTCTGTGTCTCCTTTCTGTGTTAACTGAAACGATGCTTTAACTTAAAAAAAGAAGCATCTGAAGCCTAAGAAACAAGCGATGGAATCGTCAGGGACTGTCATCCGACATCGCTTGTGTCGCAAGGCCCGGCTTCGCTAACCATGTAATTCCAAAGAGTTTTTTCTTTCTCAAAATGAGGGAAATAGGACTCAGAGCACATGGGGAATCGGGAAATAGGTCAGACACTTTTCACACAGGCTGCTGTGGGAGGGAGGGGGCTCTACAGAAACCGTATTGGAATTAATATGTGACACTCAATTAACAGATTTATTCAACCGCTGTTTTTTGAGAGCCAGATCAGAAAAGGATAAGGTACCCTTGGAAGCCACAGTGGCTTTATGGTGCGCCGCGTGAAACCAGATTTGGAACTAGATTCAGGAGACCCAAGGGATTTTGCCACTTGTAGAATTTCTTCTGATTTTCCCTTCAGCTCCAAGAAGCAGGGCTCATTGGGCCCTGGGCTGAGTCACCCGACCCACACATACACACAAGAGGCCCGCGCATACACGTAGGAGGCCACGCATACACACAGGAGGCCACGTGTACACACGGGAGGCCACGCGTACACACAGGAGGCCACGCGTACACACAGGAGG